AAAGTCAATTTGAACGGCCAATCAGCTTTGGATATGTTATCCGGCCAAGTTAACAACAGCGAAACTGCAGACATTCTTCGTCAAGCTGGATGTCTAGAAGCTAAAAGCTTTCCTGAGCAAGCGCGTCAGAAATTAGCAGAGTCATTGAAAAAAAAAATGTCTTGGTTACAGAAATTACGAAGAACAATGACGCGCCAGAATAACATGATATCTAGTGACATGAGGAATGCTATGCTGGTAGTAGCTGTACTGATCCTAACAGCTACCTACCAGACTTGTCTTACTCCACCTGGAGGTGTTTGGCAGGGTAACTTAGGTGACAACGATTCTGGTGGCCCAATGCCCAATGGCTTAGATTTCAGTCCCTCAAGTGCACCTTCCACTTACTCAGGTCTACGTTGCACGCAAGCACGTGGACCTTCCACTTCCTTACGTTTAGAATGCTTTCCCGAAGGCAAGCAACCTTCCAATGCCACTGATGCCACTGAAAGTATGGTCGGGCTCTCAGTCATGTCCACACCTAATTTTATATACTTCTACGTTATAAACACTGCAACTTTCTTGATTACAACAACCGTAGTGTTTCTCCTACTTCCTGATAACACAATAAACCTGCGGCTTACCTTACCAGTCATGTTATTCATTCTCTGCTACATGGTGTCAATGATGTACCTAGCTCCATTTCCAATTCTAGATTCCTTTCAGCTTCAACCATATGCACCTATTATTATGGCTACTGTGCTCTTCCTTATCGTGTGTTTGCCTAAGTTTTTCAATCTTAATCTCCAATCTTAAGGGGCTAGTTTAAATGTTTCTGCTTATTAAGATTAATGCATGTTAATTTTCTTTTTGGGTCAGCATTATGGATCTTTTCTTGTATAAGAACTTTGATCGTCAAAAGGAAAGTTATCGCGTGCTTGTATTTGCATTTTGCTTAATGCTAGATATTTTCTTAATATGCTACTTTTCATGTTGAGTACTTTTTATCTCCTGAATTATGAACAGACCATGATGTTCCCATTTCAATGATACATTGAGAACTGTCATGCCCTCAATAAAACAAGAGAAATCAAAAAATGATTTCCCATAGCATAGGCATGGTCAAAAAAGGGATCGATACCTATAGCACTACGGGTAATGACCTTGTTCCAAAATTTGCTACATAATAACTTGCAGTTGCAGACAACTACGGAACTATGCCAAATTTTAAGTGACTGCTAATATAAGCAAGAAATATAATCCTCCTTATGTAACCATCCACTGCTAGTTGTGAAAGGTTATACTATTTGTTAGACACCCACCCGACTTCCAAATTGGCGTAATTTAACAAATTATTTATTAACTTTCATATTTTTTTCAGTTTTGTCTATTATGTATAGATTTTTCCAATCCTGTCTACTATCTTTTAGATGCATTTCAATTTTGTCTAGTCTGTTATCTTTAACAAAAATTTTCCTATTCTATAAGAGAATAGTTAGTCCTCTAACTATATTTGTTTTGATTTTTTAGTTCTTAAATTTATATTTGCTGAGAAACAGCTTTTATACATAAAATTATTGTTTCTTGGCTTTGATACTAGATTTCTTGACCGGTTTTTAGAACTTAACTTAGACTACTACTAACTAATGAATAACTGGTATGTTAAGCTCAATAAATGCGAACTTAGATCTATTAAACTGCTAGCAAAGATAATCTTTGCTTGGCCTTTTTTAATCTTTTTAGATCTTCATTTAAATATATAGCTATTTGCTTCAACTTTCTAAGATTCTTAGATAGATGATAATCATCTTCAATATTACTTATTTTTTCTAAAATTTTCACTATTTTATTTCTATAATAATCGCATTGCTACTCATAAACTATCTAATCTACAACAATTTTTTGAATAAAATCAAGCATCTTAAATTAAATGGTTTAATATAAAATGGATCTTCTTATTCAAAATATAAGAGGTTAGGTACTATTTCCCCATCATTTCTCATCTCAAAAATAATCTAATGTTAAAGAATAATAAAGTTGTTTCTATGCCCACCTTGCTTCTGCATGATAAAATAAATGAGTTAGAATTTTACCTAAAAACCCTTTAGACTAGCCTTCAATCAAGCAAATGCTTCCTGCAAATGCTTCCTTCGTCCAACCCTTATTGCCAAACTCAAGTTATAACGGGTATTTGGACAAGACAAGTGACTTCATTGCTGCCTCAATTTCTTTAGGATTCTTCTCATTTTATTGTATGATGGAAATAAAGAAGGATAGAAACACAAGAATTATTCCAAAACATGATTTGATTTCTAAGAGAAGAAAAGGAAAGTTCCCTTTCGTCTTGAAGGGTGTTTATGGATTCATAGTAGAAGGCTTTCAAGTAAGGTATTTGGATGTTCAAATGCCCAATACCTATTATAGCTTATAGGAGGCTTTTTATAGCACTCCTTCGAATCTTTTCTTTCGTCATTGTTGACGATTAAAGTTTACATTATTGTCTGGTGATCCAGACTCACTTTTTGCTTTTGCTAAAGCAAATTACATGGAATCTTGTAGGAATCTTGCAAACACTCTTCTTTTTCTTTAGTGACACAAGAGCTTACGTCTTTTTCCATTGGATTCTATAGAGGATGATGAGGTCCTCTTCACTATCTAAGGGAGTGGTCTCTTCATCACATGGGGCTTCAGCTTTTCCTTTTGCATATTCTTTTTTGTAGCAAAAACCATAATGATTGTCGTGCTTTAACAGCTTGCATAGTCTATTGTGTACTGCTTTACTGGCTGGAACCAGATTTTCAAATATTTCTTTTCTTTTCTGCTTTATTTTGAACAGGCTAATGCATGTCATTAATCTTGCTCCAATGGATACCACTGAGACTTCTTTGGAGAAGCCATATGTCCATATCTTCCTCATTTCTATCATTCTGTCGAAGGTCTGGAGTAAAACTTTGAATCCTAGATCTCGTCTTTCTTGGATGAACTCGATCTCACAAAAAGACTCTTCGAAGTCTTGGAAAATTTGATCTTCATTCACTTCTACTTTGATTTTCTTGGACTGAATTCCCAATTTGAACTATATGATGAATGGGGAAATATTGAGATTTCTCCCATTCTGGCGCTGCAGAGTAGACTTTTACAAATGCTACCCCTTGAGCTTTGGTGCCAGTCTTGAAGTCCTCCACTCCTTGGAGTATAACTTCTGGAAGTTCTGAAATCTCTTCATTATTCTTTGAGAGATAAATACACTTTACAAAACCATAATTGAATAATTCTTTTATAGCTTCTGGGTTTGCACCCTGCATGAAATTAATTTTGGGATAAATCCCTTCATGTATAGAATGGCAATTCTTGGTAGACCTCATTGAATATGCCATTTTAGATACTCTGTGGTAATCCTGCAGATGTTCTTCACTCATTGTCATTTTTGACAAGGTATCTATTATTGTAACTTTCTTCTCTTTCTTTCTTGAGTAACCAGGTCAAAAGTTATGGCTTTCAACATTTTGAATAGCCAAGTTTTTAGCTTAAGATGCTGATGTTTCTGGGGGAGAGTATTTGACATAATAGTCAAATTTCCCTGAACTTTCTCCAAGTAACCCTACTAAAGGATCACCTTGTTCAAATTATTCTTTTAGCTCTTGTTGGGAGTTTTTTTTTTTTTTTTTGCCATCTGGCTAGATCCTTTAGAGCTGATTCCGACAGTAGTAATTACTCCGGAATTGATTAGTTTTTCTATCAGCTCTTTGACTTCTTCAAGGGCATCTTGTCCCTTATTTAATAACTAATGGTCTTTAATAATTTTTTCTTGGCTTTCATCCATGAAGTTATGGTCTTCATCAATTATCTCTTGGCCTTCTCTTATTTGGCTATTGCCTTCAATGAGTATCTCTTGACCTTTAAGAATGAGGTCTTTCCCTTTATTTTAGAGTTTCAAGATTGGCAAAATACCCAAATCCACCCCCAAAGTATAGTGGCAGGGACGAATCCACCCCCGAACAAAAAAGGGGGATAAATCCACCCACAAAGTTTTCGACTTTGATAAACCACCCTAAATTTAATGTGTGACATCATCTAACATCAATAATCCGTTAATGAATTAATGGAATGCTGATGTTAGATGCCATCAAATTAACAAATTGTTGATGTCAGATTATGTCACACGTTAAATTTGGGGTGATTTGTCCAAGTCGAAAACTTTGTGGGTGGATTTGTCCCCGTTTTTTGTTCGGGTGTAGATCTGTCCCTGCCACTGTACTTTGGCGGTGGATATGGGTATTCTGCCTTCAGGATTTCATCCATTACCTCCTTTGCTCAAGAAATCTACAAGATAATTATTAGTCCAAATTGAAAACTTTGTGGGTGGATTTGTCCCTATTTTTTGTTCGGGGGTGGATCTGTCCCTGCCACTGTACTTTGGGGGTGGATTTAGGTATTCTGCCTTCAGGATTTCATCCATTACCTCCTTCTCTGCTTAAGAAATCTACAAGACAATTATTAGTCCCTTTGATATGTTCAATTTCAAAATCATATTCAGCAAAAAAATGTTTGCCATCTATTTAATCTTTTATATTCTGGTGTTAAAGGTAATTTATTAAAAATAAATCCCTTAACTTGAGTATTGTCAGTTTTGACCTTAAAATGTTTTGGTAATAAGAAGAAACTAAACTTTTTTATTCCATTTTTAGTGGTCAATAATTCTTTATGATTTGAATGATATCTAGTTTCTACATTTTTAGATATCTGCAAAGTTTTTCTTGAAAATTTTTTTTCAAAGCTGCTCCCTAATAAAAATCTGAGGCATCACATTCTAAAATTAATGCTTCATCTTCTTTAGGAAATTGTAACTTAGGAAGGTTTTTGCAATATTCCTTTATTCTTTTCACATGATTAGTGTGATCAATTTCCCATTGTTGATTTTCCTTTTTCCTAAGCAACTTTTGCAAAATATGTCTAAGTTGAGCTAGGTTTTGAATAAATTGCTCTGCATAATTTAGTATATCTAAAAACTTTTGAATTTGTTCTTTAGATTCTAATTTATCTAGAAATCGCTAATGTGAGGTTGTAATTCTATTCCTATGGAATCTATTGTTAATCCAAGGAATTCAATTTTGGTTTTTCCTATCTCTGCTTTTTTCTTTTTTTAGAAAGTAATATTTGATGTTTTTTGCATAAATATGCAAATTTCTTAATATGACATAAATGCTCTTTCTCATTATCAGAGAAGATTAGTATGTCATCTACATAAACTATGCAAAATTTTTTTATGGAGGAAAATACATTATCCATTCTTATTTGAAATGTTTAAGGTGTATTTTTTAATCCAAAAGGCATTACTAGTCACTCATAGTGTCCTATAAGGGCACTAAAGGCTGTTAGTGGGATATTGTCAGGAGTTAGCTTAATTTGCCAAAATCCTGATTTACAATCAAATTTTGAATACATTTTCTTTGCCCTAATGCTATTGATTAAAGTTTCTTTATGTGATAAAAAGTAACCATCAAATTTAGTTTTTCTATTAAGTTGTTTATAATTGACAACCATTCTAACTTTTCCTCTTTTTAATTCACTATAATTTCTTACCATAAAGGCAGGACTACTATCCAAACTCTTAGAGGCCTGTATAATTTTCTAGGCCATTAACTCTTGAATTTGCTTATCAAATTCTCTGTTATCTTCAGAGCCATACCTCATTAGTTTGACTCTAATGATAGTTTTTGGGTCTATTAATTCAATTGTGGCATAAGTTTTATCAACTCCCCATAGTTTTGTAGGATCTTCTGCAATTACTTCTTAATTCTTCTGAGATAGATTCTAAGGTTAATTTTTCTTATGTTTTTTTATTATTCCACAATGCTAACACTGGTTTTCTAATCTCTTTTAATCAAGTTTTTCTATTATTTTCACCACGTTGGCTACAAAAATTTAATGGTTTAATTGCTCTAGTATAAGTTTTATAAATTCTGGAGACGTAAAACCAATGTCCACAGGGTGTATAAAATTTTACATATAATGCAGTTTGAACAGACTGCTTGAATTGACTTAAGAAATTGTTTCCCAATAGAAAATAGTTCCCATGTTCGTTACTTTCATA